CTGCTTGTAAGTTTTTAGCCATAGCTATATTTGATATTCCCTTGTCTTATACCTTATACAATTTTCTCCCATCATTTTTCCCCAGTTCGTTCATTAACAAGACTTCTTTTCAGACATGCTGACCTCAGCCCCAGTTTATCTTGTAGATGAGGATCAGATACTTGGTTTTGCTTTATGTTTAGAACCTTTGGGAAAAAGGTTCATGTTCTGACTGAGATGGGTCTGTATGAAGGTATAACCAGGTGACTTAAATGTGCCTGCCCACTCACTTCACTTGGTGTCTGACTCCTACCCCTCCAAGTCTACTGCCTCCCTCAGTAGGTGGGCTCTATGGACTTTATAGTCTCATTAGATTTACAGGTGCTATTAGGGGGTGTGGCAGGGTTCTCTTTTACCATCACCTCCATAAAGCTAGGTGTCTGTTAGAGAGCCTTCCTCAGTTGGGGTTTTAGTTGAAGAAATTCAGTTGCAGGGGAAAGAAGCCAGCCCTTTGGAGATTCTGCTGGAGCGTAAATAATAACTAATGATTCACTCCGGCTCTCTGTTGCAGCTAGGGCTGCTTGCAGCCTGATGTGAACATTCACGGATGAAAATAAGATTGTTTTTTGCCAGGGGGTATTAATAGCAGATGTTTAGAACTCCTTCATGTACAGACATTCTTAGCATTTAGACTTGGCCTTTTGAAAGTTTACTAGCTTTGAATTTATTACGCCATTCTGACCAAGAACATGCAGGAAGTGCGTGTTCGTATATCTTTATGCATACACAGATATTGAGGCTTATGTTTGTATAAGTCAGGACTCTGAAATTAATGGCATCCTCAGTGACTAACATGCTCAGCAACAGAAACACATAATAGATCACATCAGAATGAAATGTTTCTGATCACAGTTTTTGACAACCAAATTTACTTAGGGAGAGTTTTCTGCATTCATCCACTGGGATGAAGACTCCACCTAAAGGAGGGTGAGAGAAGTGGTCTTGTTTCCCTGGCTTGCCTTCCAAGAGTTGTCCAAACAGGTCTGCCTTGTGCAGCCTGGAAGTGTTAAAGGACTTGAGAGGCTTGAAGGGGCGACCAGATGTTAGTTGTCTGTCTGAGAGCAAGGGAACTCTGTCAGTCGTACAGGGACCAGCTTATCCCTCCTTCACAAGAATAACCCTTCATTTCCTATGTTTTGAAATAGATATCAAGACGACAGCTGTGAGAAAAGGTGATGAATATATCATAAATGGTGGTAAGATGTGGACTACATCCGGGTGCCAAGCGGACTGGATGTGCCTGCTGGCAAACACCAGTGAAGGACCTCCCCATCGAAATAAATCTCTCATATGTCTGCCAATGAATCTACCCGGTAATAACACCAGAACTCTTTCTCTTCTAATTTGATTTTTTTGGTGTGTTTGTGTATGCCCAATACAAGAAGGAAAGGTGTTTGACAGAAAGGACTGCACCCGTAAATGCTCTTCTAAGTTAGGTGTTTCACTGTCATACAAAGTTGGTTCTGAAATGCATTTGCACGCTTCCACAAAAAAGTAGGGGACAAGGAAATGAGAAGAAAGTTCAATATTTTGCAGACTTCAGCCTGTCACTCCCAAATAATTTTACATGGAGAATCCTTTTTGCCAAAAATAAATTTATAAAAGTTGTTCAGATACATTTGCATGGGAATATTTCATAACCTTCAGTGAGAATGAATAGACAAGTCAATGCCAAGGACAAAATCTCAACCTCAGAGAAATCACTAAAAATAGAGCCAACATTTTTTTGGAAGTTATAATATCCAGTGTCTTTTAGTTTTGGAGAAGTTCCACAAAACTTTTATCTTGTTTTTAGGTCCCCAAAAGGCATGAAGATGCAAACAGTCCATGAAATAAATAACATATTACTCTATTTACATAGATTTTTGCTACATATGAACTATATGCAAAATGTTCTTAAATTATATTTCCAAAATGTTCCAAAATTATCTTTCCTGTTTTGTATGAGGACTGGTGAACAGAATGTATACTACTTTTTTTCAATGAATGGAGAAGTATTTTTCAGCTTGCTGTCTTATTTCTTCAGAAAATATTGAAAGTGATTCTCAAACATGTGAAAATAAAAGGATAAAGCGTTTAGAGATTTCAAACTTGGGAAATACCTCCCAAAACAATCTTAGCCCACATGCCAACACCTGCCTCCCAGGAGCCCATGGGCCATATCTGACTCAGGGTGGGTTTACTGACCAGTTGTATTGAATACTAGAAGGATGCAGTGCTGTGCTGTGATTGTATTGTGTGGATGGTCCTGATCTTCCTCTGATAACCTTCCTCCACCACCCAACCTGGTGGGCGTGCTGAAGAGAAGTGCAGGCATGCCCAGGGTGCTTCATGGCTCTTTTTGCCAGGGCGCTACTATCATTATCAGTTTAAATTGCAAAAATAGTCTGTGAGTTAAAGGTGGGCTGGAGTGAAAGCTTCAGAGATGTTGGAAGTAGGGGTTTGTTTTTGAAGAGGATAAGTAATTTAGGTGAAGACACTGAAGAAATACATTCTGATCTAAGGGTACAAGTTTCAGTGGTACAGTCCACATGGTGTCTGTTCCTGAGTAGTCTGCAGACCTTGCAGGAATAATGTGCTCTGTGCTTACAGGACATTCAGAGAGGATACAGTTAAGGTTATAATAATATAAATTAAATATAAATATAAA